GATATTTTGATGCTACCAAGAAAAAAAAAAAAGAAAAAAAAAGAAGAGAAACTCAGAAATAGATGAAGTTTAAATGCCTGAAGAGTCAGCCTAAAACCAGATATTTTCTCACTCGGATCGTCCGCAGGAAGAGGGAAGCTTAAATTAAAGCTAGAAATAAAGAATGGAGTTCAAAGGTGCGATCTTGCGGAAGTCTTCAGTGGCGCAATAGACAGGCTTCCCTCAAATGGAAGGAAGAGACGTACACTTAGATTTTGGGATTTTTCCGTTGTGGGGGGTTTGGGAAAGGGAGCTATTTTATACTGAAAATCACTAGATTTTTCACACATGTTGGTTGGTAATTTTGAAAAAAACAAAGATGATTGGTTTGGTAATTTTGAAAAAAAAAAAAAAAGATGCTTCGTTTGGTAAGCCGACGGTGTGGTACCAGGAATCCAGGATAACCGACATTCTGGTGAATTGCAATGGAGGCGTGGAGAAACGACGTTTGTTTTGGCGCAGAGAGGGAGGACAGTCATTGATCTCATCATTTGTACGCGTTTGTTTTGGTACCAGTGAAGTTCATACCGTACCGTACCAGCTAATATGTCGGTACATATCAGTTTTGGTATTTGATCGAAACGGTATAACGTGAGTTTTCATTTTAATCAAATTTCAGATATTTTGATTAAAATTCAGTGTATCGATTAAAATTTCGATATATGGGTCGGTTAACTGAAATTTCGATTGGTAAACACTGTAAATTAAAAAAAATAAAAAATTCCCCTAGCCTGCAACTGCCATACATGCACGTAATTCCGTATAATTCAATTCAAATTTAAAAAGGTAAATTTCATTTTTATCCTCAACTTTAATGTTATATATAATTTTTATCCTTTAACTTTTTTTATGTACTTTTTTAGTTTTTTTTTTGTCTTTCTATCAATTATTTTGTTAAATTTATCTAAATATACATATTTTTAATCTCTTAATTTAAAGTGGATAGACGAAAAATATACATATATTAAAAGTTAAAAGATTAAAAATGATCATTTTAAACTTATTTTTAATTTATAAGAATATCATAGTTTTAAATATTA